GGGTAAGCTTTTCAGATGATTGAATCTTTTTGGATAAACCTTTAAAAATATTGTTTTCAACATATTAAAATATATAAAAAAATATATATATCGTATAAAAAAATAATCAATATATAGAAATAAATAAATCGAAATATTCCAAACTTAAAATATTTTATATAATATTAAATAATTTTAAAAGTGTATGGAAAAATATTAAATAATTTAAAAAGCTTATCCAACAATATTAAATCAAGGTAGACCAGTATGTTGACTTGGACAAAATGGCAAAAATCTATTTTCAATACTGAAAAACTGCTGGATGGGTTGTGTTATACCTGAAACACACGTTGAGATAATCTATTTTTGCCTTGGCAGATTATCTTTTATTTGATCCAACAACTTGGTTACTCCAAGAACCGTAACCAATACAACCTCATTAAGTTGAAGTTGTTTTGATAATATAGTGTCCCTTTAATGATATATTCCAATATTGTTGAGGATCAAATGTAAAATACAGGCACAAACCTACAATGTTCTCAGGAACTCCTACACTTTGTTAGGATATTCTCTAGTTTTCAACTTTCGAAATATTTCAGCAGATTGTTATCAATATCAACATCCTTTTCAGTTAGGTTGTGAGCTCTGAATTTTTTCAAAGTATTCAAATCTTTTTGCTCCAAGTCTAACTCAAAAATCCTGCTTAAGTTCAGTTCTTTCTAAGAGTGTTATCAAAATCAGCATCCTTTTTCAGTCAAGTTGTGAGATCTGTATTTTTCAAAGTGTTTTCTTTTTTTTTTTTTACCAATAAAACTATTACTACTTCTACCTGTTCGACATTTAAAGAAGCTGAGAAAGAGGAAACAACAAAAAAATCCAGAAAACATGTCCAAAATAGTTGGATCTACAGTTCCTCAAATAGCAGAGGCAAGTGACAAGTCAAAAAAAAAGAAAAAAAAGAAAAGCACACAGTGCTAGCCAATCTTCTTCTCAAACAAAGAAAAGAAAATATGATGAGGATAGCTACTTGCCATTTGGATTCACAAGTGCCAGAAATGAAGCACAATGCGTACTTTGCAATAAAATATAAAAATATATATAAAATAAAAAAATATAAAAGATAAAGGAGAATCAGAAGAGTAAACAATTTATGAGCAAAAAAATCCAAAATGCTAATGAAAAAGCCACAGAGGCTTCTTACAGAGTGAGTTAATGCATAGCACTTGCAGGAGAAGCACACACAATTGGGGAATCATTAATAAAACCATGTGCCAAATAATTAGTGTCATGTATTTTAAGTGAGAAGTTGATTTAAAAAATTTAAGCTGTGCCACTTTCCAACAACACAGTTTGGCGCAGTATTATAGAAACATAGAATGTGACGGCACATAAGAACCATTCGGCCCATCTAGTCTGCCCAATTCATGATCTTGCTGATGACATCCATACTGAACTAATTTCTCGACTGCATCAATGTGATGGGTACTCGCTGCAATTAGATGAGTCCACAGATGTTGCAGGACTTTCAATTTTGTTGTTTTTTGTTAGATATAAATTTGACAAATAGATTGAAGAAGACTTGCTTCTGTGTAAAACTTTGAAAACTTATACCACTGGTGAGAACATTTTTTAACTGTATCCAGATGTTCATGAGCACACACAGTATAAATTGGGACAAATGTGTAGATGTGTGCAGTGATGGTGCCAAAGCAATGGTTGGGAAAGTGGCAGACACTGTGACACGAATAAGAAATGTAGCAAAAAACAGCACCAGTTCCACTGTGTTCTTCACAGACATGCACTGATAGCTAAAAATATTTCAATCTCACTTAAAACTGTGCTAGACGAATCGGTCCAGATTATTAATTTTATAAAAAGTCGACAACTATTTAAAATTATATGTGAATATATGAGTAGTCACCACTCTGCTCTGCTTTTGCATTCAGAAGTCCATTGGCTATCACGAGGTAACGTCCTTATTAGAATATTTGAATTGTGTCAAAAGTTGTTTGCATATTTCCAGGATCATAAATTTGGATTATCTGATCGATTAACAAACATTTTGTGGTTATCCAAAGTAGTATATCTTGCAGTCATATTCACAACATTATATGATGTATGTTTATCACTCCAAGGAAAAACCACTAATATTTTTAAAGAGATAAAATATTTTCACTGTATCGTAAGCTGCAGTTTTGGACCTCATCTGTTGAGCAAAATAATTTGAACTCTTTGCCAACACTTAAGGATTTTCTTGAAGAATCAGAAATTGAACTTGAAGATGAAATTCACAAAAAATTGTAGATCATCTTTGCCATTTAATCACATCTATTAATCAGTATTTTCCATTCTTGATTGAAAACAATAATGACTGGGTTCGAAATACATTCTTAAAAGAATTTATGATTTATGTGACGAATACCCAGAATTGTCCAAGCTGGGCAACCAAAGTTCTGTTGCCATTCCCCAGTACGTACTTATCTGAAACTGGATTCTCGCTTTACTCTGCAACAAAAACAAAGTATCGAAATCGACTTGATGCAACTGCAGACATTCAAATACAATGGTCAACAATTACACCAGATATAAAAGGAATTTGCCAGCAAAAGAGAACATTACACTCTGCTCATTGAAAGGTTTGCGCTGGGGTGCCCTACTCTGCGGCACACATTTTTTTAGGGGGGTTCCAAAGTGTTACTATATCATGTCAAAGGGTTCCACAGGAAAAATGAATTAGGAAACCCTGGAATAGACAGATTTTGATGAGTGGAGACATCCATTGCATTCTGGAAAGAAATTAAATTTAGCTGAGATTAGGGGATTATGGATTCAGTTTAATAAACTTTCCAAATTATTTATCTACAAACATTCACCTCAATGGTTACTTCTGTAGTTAAATCATGAAAGTTTTTCAAATGGTTTTAATCAGTTGAAAAGCTTATTAAATCGAGGGCCCGTATTATAAACTCTGATAAATAAACCTGGCATATAAATGTCTTTCCTATCCTGCAGTGTTAAATTTGGCAGCAAATTTCAATTTAGTTTGTCATAGTCTTTTAACTAAAACACCATTTTAGTTGTATTTTAGTGGATTTTAGTCGACAACTAAAAATTGATTTAATTAAAAGCCTCTGTCTCTTTTGCTCCTTTCCCAATCCCTCTGTGTCTCTTTGTGTCCTCCCAGGCTCTCTAGGTGTCTCTCTCCCAAGCCCTGGTCTGTCTCTTTTGCTCCTTCCACAGCCCCTCTGTGCATTGT